ATGCTTTATACATAGTATAAAGGGGAAACAAAATTAGCACAGTTTAAATACATACAAGTAAATATGCAGCTCAATTGAGTATGAAAATTTCAGTGTGATCAGATAACGTTATTCATATTGATTTTGATAAACATATTTTATGTTGCTGGCTTATCCGCTGCTGCTCCGAACATCCTCCCCCCCGTTGAAAGGTCAGGGCTTTCAACAGAATCCTTCACCGGGAGGACACACAGCTTGTTCACGGCTCGTCGCGTTATACCGCTAGATGTTTTTAAAAGTGCCACACGTACGACACCGTCTGCTCCAGGGACAACTTCGATTACCCGTGCTAGAGACCACTTCAGTGGTGGTGAGTTTTCTTCCTTTATGCATACGACATCATTGACTTGAATGTTGGCATGAGGTAAACGCCACTTTGCGCGTTGCTGTAGAAGAGTTAGATACTCTTGAGTCCACCGCTTCCAAAAAACCTGTTTAATGTATGTTGCACGCTGCCATCGATCAAGTCGGTCGTAGTTTAGCGTCGTTAGATCCGGTTCCGGAAGAGCTGTCAGAGAACCACCAATCAAAAAATGGCCTGGCGTTAGCACATCTAAATCCTCTGGGTTTTCTGAAAGGGGTACGAGAGGACGAGAGTTAATTACAGCACAGATTTGACATACCAAAGTACGCAATTCATCGAAGCCAAGCAGTGATGAGCCAACGGAACGATAGAAATGTTGTTTGGCTGTTTTTACGGCCGCTTCCCACAAACCGCCAAAGTGCGGAGAGCGAGGTGGGATGAAACGCCAATCAAAGCCATTACTGAGGCAAAAGTTGTGGACTTCGCTGCGGTGTTTCTCGCTGAGGGCTAAGTTCCGTAGTTCTTTAAGCTCGTTCTTGGCGCCTACAAAATTCGACGCATTGTCAGACCAGATGCAGCTGGGTATGCCACGCGTAGCGATGAATCGTTTTAGCGCGTCAATGAAAGCACCTGTTGAGAGGTCTCTTACCAACTCCATCCATACAGCCTTTGTGGCGAAGCAAATGAAAACGCTTACATAACATTTGTGGGCGATTTATTGCGTAATTCAGGCTTGTAATAAAATGGCCCACAGTAGTCCACACCGGTGACTATGAATGGGCGCGAGGCCTGAATTCGCTCTTTAGGCAGGTCGGCCATTATGTGCTCGACAAGGCGCGGTCTCGATTTGCAGCAAATAATGCATTTTTGTAGGACTCGAGTGACTGTTTTCCGACCACCTATGGGCCAAAACTGCATTCGAATGAAGGCGAGTAAAGCTTGAGGACCTGCGTGATGTTGTTTGCGATGAAAAAAGGTTATTATACTAAATGTCAGTGGATGATCCTTCGGAATAATGCATGGGTGGCGCGATTCAAAACTAAGCATAGAGTTTTTTAATCGCCCGCCGACTCTAATAATTCCAAAGTCATCAAGAAATGGTGATAGCGAAACAATGCTGCTCGAACTCGGGACGCAATTATTGGCCTGTAATGCCGTGTACTCCGGCCAAAGTTGCGCTCTTTGTACTAAGCGAATAAGCAGTTGAGTTCCATGGTGAAGCTCTGCTGCGAAGAGCTTGGCGATGTTGTAATATTGACAAATTTGCTGACGTACCCAAAAATGCGCTGCATTGTTCCAAATGAATTAATGTACTTGAACGAAAGCGAAATGTCATTGCGGTTATGTGCGGCAAGCAACACCTTTTGTCGAAGTTCTGGAAGTTTTGGTTGTGGTAGACACATGCGCGGCCAGCTGCCCTCCACTTCTCGCAAAAATGACGGGCCGTGCATCCAAAGTGAAGATCCTAGAAGTTCCTGCGGGGTAGCTCCTTTGGATAAAATGTCCGCCGGATTCATTGCTGTCGGAACATAGTGCCACCGCATGCCCTCCGTTAATTGATGTATGGTGGAAATTCGGTTAGCGACAAATACGTTAAATTTCGATGGTTCTTCTCGCAGCCACGAGAGGACAGTGGAGGAATCTGACCAACAATGAAATGAACAGTTAAAAAGCTTCATTTTTGTAAACTCACCCATGAGTTGTGCCAGCAGTGTTGCTGCACAGAGTTCCAGCTTGGGCACGGTGATAGTCTTCAGTGGAGCGACACGGGCCTTCGAACACAACAGGTGCACTTGTACCTTACTATCCTTGGCTGAACGCGTATAAACGCAAGCCCCATAAGCTTCACGGCTTGCATCGCAAAATGCATGAATTTCTGTAATGGCCCCAGGTTGCAAGACGTAACGAGGAAATGATAGGTGCTGTATGTCTGCAAACCCGCTGCAAAAGACAGACCAGGCGGTGTTTAACGATTGCGGTAGACTCTCATCCCACTCAAGCTTGTCTCTCCACATGCGTTGCAGAAGAATCTTCGCCTTGGTCAGCGTAGGGCCCATTAGTCCAAGGGGATCGTAACAGCGAGCTAGAGTAGACAACGCAGAGCGTTTTGAGTTTTTACCGAGTTCTCGTTGTGGCACAAACGAAAATAGCAGCTTGTCCTTGACCGGATCCCAAACTAGTCCCAGAGCTTTGGTGATGTCACTGCCATCGTCAAACTTAAGGAAACGTTCCTTGTCTACGTCAGGTATATCACGAAGGATATCTGGACTATTAGAGCACCACTTGCGTAACTTAAAGTTTCCTCGAGCAAGGAGGCTAGTTGTTTGTAGCTTGATATTCAGTACTTCTTCCATCGAATCGCCTCCAGATATCAAGTCATCTACGTAGAAGTCTCGACGCACTATTTCTGCACCAATGGGGTAAGTCGAGGATTCGTCAGCTGCGAGTTGGTGCATGGCACGTATGGCCAGAAATGACGCAGGCTTAGTTCCATAAGTCAGCGTGTCTAACTTATAGATGGCAAAGTTTTCCTGAGGAGATTCACGCCACAATATGCATTGGAGCATGCTATCTGGTGGGGTGACGCGAACACACCTATACATCTTACAGATGTCCCCAGTAAGTGCTATGGAAAAAGTACGAAATCTAATAAGGATATTAAAAAGTTTCGGCTGAATAGTTGGGCCTGCCATGAGTAGGTCGTTCAGCGAAAAGCCCGAAGTAGTGGATGCAGAGCCATCAAAAACCACTCTCAGCTTTGTTGTGCTACTGTCATCCTTGATGACGCAATGATGCGGCAGAAAATACTTGCATTGTTGAAAAACCTCATTGGTAACTAGCGACATGTGATTAAGGTCCAGATATTCCTTTATGAACTTACTATATTCTGTTTTAAGCTCAGGGTTACGAGCGAATTTTCGTTCAAGACTTTCGAAGCGTTGACGAGCTTGCAAATAGGAGTCTCCAAGGGCCTCCACACTACGCTTCATGGGAAGACGAACTGAGTATTCGCCTGATGACAATCGCAAATAATTTTCCCGGAAGTGGGCTTCGCAGTCGATATCTTCTTGGGAGGCCTTAGAGATCGGCTCGAAGTTGTGCTCTATTTCCCAGAACTGACGCACTAAATCGTCCAACCGAGTGGAAATAATATCACTGGAGGACTTCCGTCGCACCACAAAAGATGATAGTTTTGGAGCTTGTTGCCCCCCTCCAGATAGCACCCAACCGAGGCGTGTTTTCTGAAGGAGTGGTAAACCGTATGCCAAGCGTATCTGCCCCACACATAGCAGATCGAAGAACAATGCTGCTCCAATGAGCAGATCAATTCGCTGCGGTAAGTTGAACCCAGGATCAGCTAGTTGTATATTCGACGGAACATTCCACTCGTTGGTGCTCACGGAGCAGCCAGGCTGGTTGTCGGTTATGGTTTACACAACAACAGCTGTTATGTTTGTTGAGAAATCTGAAGTCCGCGACTTCAGTACGAGGTCGACTGAGTAACCCTCCGTTGAGAAATTGGCATCTCCAATGCCAGATACTGTAGCAGAAGATTTTGCTTTTACAAGCTGCAATTGGTTTGCAAGGCGAGTTGTGACAAAGTGTAACTGGGAGCCAGAATCTAAAAGCGCCCTGCAAGGCACGAAGCTTCCAGCACGATTTTTTACCAGAACGACGGCAGTAGCTAGGAACACAGCATCAGAAGGAGATACTGGGGCACTAGGCGACACAGATAACGATGCAGTCATAGCGTTGGATTGAACTGTAGCTGCCGACGAAGCTTCGGCTTGACTATTGTTTAACGATGCAGTTGAGCGTTCGAAATGCAAGAGCGTGTGGTGTTTCGACTGACAGGCGCGGCACGATCCGGATTTGCAGTCACGAATTTGATGCCCAGTCTTTAGGCAGTTAAGACAAAGGGAAAGCTTCTTAACTTCCCTCAGGCGTAAGTTCGGAGACAAATTTGCGAAGAGTTGACAGCTATAAATTGCATGCTCGGCAGATCCACAAAACACACAAACACCTTTTGAGCCGTTGGAAGCAACAAAGGATTTCCTCTGACAAGTACTCACGTTCTTGGTAGCTTTTACCGCCTGACCAGTCGGTGTCTGCATAGAATGCTCAACGTTCTCGAGTGTTCTGCAGCGCTTCTCCAAGAACATAGCTAATTGATCCCAGGATGGCAGTTCGCTGACCGATGAACTCTCCTCCCATTTAGCTTGCGTCTTTTTGTCAAGTTTCTGGATCACCAATTGTACGATGATGCCATCTGCGATCTTCCCATTGGATGCGAGCGACTGCAATGCGCGTATGTGTGCTGTGACCTTATCTGTCAGCTCTCGTAGCTTGGTTACGTTTGAATCTGCCCTCTCTAGCCCAAATATCTCCCTGACGTGTGCCTGAAATATAAGACGTTTGTTATCGAAGCGCTTTTGTAAAAGATCTAATGCAGTGTTATAAAGAGCGTCGTTTATTTCCAGCGAGCGCACGGTGTCAAGGGCAGCGCCGCTCAGACAGGAACGAAGATGCTGCAATTTGTCGATGTTGGTGAGGTCGCTGTCCTTGTCGATTATTGACGTGAACATTGAATAGAAATTTATCCACTCGGTGTAGGCGCCACTGAATCTAGGCAGTGTCAGCAATGGCAAGCGTGAGCTATTAGCGTTCACAATGATTGATTGGGTCTCACTGGAGTTCATTCTGAGCGTGGAGCAATGTTGCGAGGCACTACGTTTACCAATCTCGCGTTGCAGTGTAGCTCTAAGGTTGATTAGAGCAGCATCGAAGTTACTTGGCAGGTCGCTGGCAATGGAGTCGAAGTCCAATTCCTCTAGGCTTGTGTGTGCGGCAGAAAAACTGGATTTCAATTCGCCTAAGGATTCTAGCATTGCTGAAAGACTGTACTCATCCATACTGTGTAGCTTGTCTGCGTCCAACTCGTTAATCAAGCTCTCCAGTCTGCTGAATATGGCCTTTGTTTTCAGCTTTAGAAAGGCTACTCGATCTGCATCTTCCCCTGGCATGACGAAGTTGCTGACGTTTACACTAGTGTGGCAGAATTATCTCAGTAAGCGGCCGGAAACAAACCAAAAATCGCGTGATACGATCACGTCGGGGTCACCAAATGTTGAGCTACTAAGCCTTTTTAGCAGCTATTAAAATAAAACAAACGATGTATGCATAAGTTAAGCAACTGTATTTAACAAGATTTGGTCCGCGACTAACTAACAGAAAGTTCACCTTGAACTATTTAAGTATGTCCTAATTACATTGGATAACTGCAAATTCATCACCAACAATAGAAAACCAGTTTTCTTAAAAGCATGAGAATTTACATATATATATTTATGCACGTATGCACCCGCGCACACAATATTGCTTACATACATATGTACTATTTTTCGCTTGCTTGCATACGAATGTATCCAACTGAGCGCGGGCGGTACGTATGCACATACATATATGTATGTATGTATATACGCATGCTTTATACATAGTATAAAGGGGAAACAAAATTAGCACAGTTTAAATACATACAAGTAAATATGCAGCTCAATTGAGTATGAAAATTTCAGTGTGATCAGATAACGTTATTCATATTGATTTTGATAAACATATTTTATGTTGCTGGCTTATCCGCTGCTGCTCCGAACATCCTCCCCCCCGTTGAAAGGTCAGGGCTTTCAACAGAATCCTTCACCGGGAGGACACACAGCTTGTTCACGGCTCGTCGCGTTATACCGCTAGATGTTTTTAAAAGTGCCACACGTACGACACCGTCTGCTCCAGGGACAACTTCGATTACCCGTGCTAGAGACCACTTCAGTGGTGGTGAGTTTTCTTCCTTTATGCATACGACATCATTGACTTGAATGTTGGCATGAGGTAAACGCCACTTTGCGCGTTGCTGTAGAAGAGTTAGATACTCTTGAGTCCACCGCTTCCAAAAAACCTGTTTAATGTATGTTGCACGCTGCCATCGATCAAGTCGGTCGTAGTTTAGCGTCGTTAGATCCGGTTCCGGAAGAGCTGTCAGAGAACCACCAATCAAAAAATGGCCTGGCGTTAGCACATCTAAATCCTCTGGGTTTTCTGAAAGGGGTACGAGAGGACGAGAGTTAATTACAGCACAGATTTGACATACCAAAGTACGCAATTCATCGAAGCCAAGCAGTGATGAGCCAACGGAACGATAGAAATGTTGTTTGGCTGTTTTTACGGCCGCTTCCCACAAACCGCCAAAGTGCGGAGAGCGAGGTGGGATGAAACGCCAATCAAAGCCATTACTGAGGCAAAAGTTGTGGACTTCGCTGCGGTGTTTCTCGCTGAGGGCTAAGTTCCGTAGTTCTTTAAGCTCGTTCTTGGCGCCTACAAAATTCGACGCATTGTCAGACCAGATGCAGCTGGGTATGCCACGCGTAGCGATGAATCGTTTTAGCGCGTCAATGAAAGCACCTGTTGAGAGGTCTCTTACCAACTCCATCCATACAGCCTTTGTGGCGAAGCAAATGAAAACGCTTACATAACATTTGTGGGCGATTTATTGCGTAATTCAGGCTTGTAATAAAATGGCCCACAGTAGTCCACACCGGTGACTATGAATGGGCGCGAGGCCTGAATTCGCTCTTTAGGCAGGTCGGCCATTATGTGCTCGACAAGGCGCGGTCTCGATTTGCAGCAAATAATGCATTTTTGTAGGACTCGAGTGACTGTTTTCCGACCACCTATGGGCCAAAACTGCATTCGAATGAAGGCGAGTAAAGCTTGAGGACCTGCGTGATGTTGTTTGCGATGAAAAAAGGTTATTATACTAAATGTCAGTGGATGATCCTTCGGAATAATGCATGGGTGGCGCGATTCAAAACTAAGCATAGAGTTTTTTAATCGCCCGCCGACTCTAATAATTCCAAAGTCATCAAGAAATGGTGATAGCGAAACAATGCTGCTCGAACTCGGGACGCAATTATTGGCCTGTAATGCCGTGTACTCCGGCCAAAGTTGCGCTCTTTGTACTAAGCGAATAAGCAGTTGAGTTCCATGGTGAA